GTCTTGGCGTGCAGCCAATCTTGGCATCACATTCGATTTCCATCTTCGTGCACGACGTACTTTTGAGGTACAGTGCTGTTTTTTCGTTAATTTTCAGTCCTGTTTGTCTAACCTCCAGCACTTTTTTCACTCATTTTTGAGGTTATTGGCGTTATTAGTAGAGCGATAAACGGATTTCAGCTACGATAACTTCACCTCAAAAATCGAAGATAGCATTTTTTTTAGTATTTCCGTGCCACGTTATTCCAGTAATTTTTGCTTAAACTTTTTTATCTCTGTTGTTAAACTTTTCCTTGAACAGGCCGGTATTTTTTTATCTCAAGCTGCATGCAAGTACGAGCCCCCATCCCAAAAATGGGGGTTCTTACCCGCAATTCGTACTCACGTACGAGCCCGCCAAAGTTTTTTACGGGTAAACTGCTAACTCGGGACCAGAAATGCTGGGAGGCTGAAATTTTGAGGGAAAGTCCCCCGTCCAAGTGAGTATTAATGAGCTCAAACCCAGCCCCCGGGTAAGCGTGGTACCCACATACGGGCTCGCCAAAATTTTCTTCTGGTAAGTTGCTAACTCGGGAATCTGAGAAGCTAGAAGACGGGAATTTTGAAGGGATATTTCCGAACAGTCCTGACGGCCAGTCTGAAATTCTTTCAGCTAGAAGCATCTGCCGGAAAAACTAGTGCTGTTAGTGACACAGATCTGCGGGGAGATATGCAAAAAACGCATCTTTGCACGGGCAGCCCGTGTGTTGGCCAACTATTATAAATTTGCGTTTTTTATGTTTTAATTTTTTGAATAATTGTGAAAGTAATCAATGGAAAGCATTTTGCTCTCATTGCTTTTTTGAATTTTTGGAGGAATATACAGACAAGAACGGCGAATAACTGTTTTATCCGTTCATCCAGCTAAGGTTACAGCGGCTATGTAAAGTTTCCGGAACTAGCTATAGGGCGGGGGAGTGAAAAAATAACTCGTCGGTATGAGTAAACGAATAATAAAAAAAGTCGGTTTTCAGGCAGCTTACTTAAATTTTCCTCTATTCACCGTTTTAGCGATTCCCATCGCATAGTTTTTTGTATTTTTGCGGATATTTTACTTCATTGAGGGCTTTACTTGTGTTCTTTTGACATTCTGTTGGTACCATTCAGTAATCCGTTTTGTCCATTTGTTGTCTCTCATTCTTGATATAGAGCCTATCCAGCTGTCCCTTTTGGTGCACATTGCCTTGATAAGTTCACTTAGAGTAGAGCGAAACCACAGTACTTTATTGAAGATGTGTTGGCACTTGTGTTTTTTCGCGTCCCACTGTTTTATTTTTTTTCAAAAAAAAAAAGGCAATTTTTTAGCGATTTAGCATCAAAATCAGCAAATTTAGCCCACTTTTTCAAAATCAGCAATTTTGTCTCACTCTTACGTGATTTTAGTAGTTCTTGTTCAAAGCTTTCTACCTTTGATACTAAATTTCTTATCGAACAAACCAGTATTTTTGTGCATCGAGAAAAATTTTTGCTTACGCGATTTTTGTGTTTTTTCAGACATGCGGCCCACGTAATTTTTGCTCACGTAACTTTTGCGCTTTTTTAGACAAGCGGTTTACGACGACTTTTTATGAAGTGTCTGAGCACATTATCGGAGCTGGTTCTCGGCGATGACCTCTCTTCTCCATATCAAGTGAGTTTTTTGTTTTTTTTTTTTTTTTGATAAACACTGGTAAGCTCTGAGCAGTTGTAAGCACAAGCAAAGCAGAGCAAGATGGAAAGAGTGGGAATCATCAGTACAGCCACCTGCTAACCATCTGTACGATGAGCGTATACATGATTTTTCAAGATTAGAGTGAAAAAAAAAAAAAAAAAAGAAATTAGAAAGCAAAAAAAAAAAGAAAGTGATTGCTTTATTTAACTGGTAGAATCGAATTTTCAATTTTTTTGCACAGAAATGCCGCTGCCCATCCCTGTGCCATATCTGCTTCCGAATTTTTCGAGCCGTATTTTTTTCGCTTAAACAAAAAATGAACAGAAAATTTCACCGGTAAAATTTCTTGTAATAATTTCAGCAACGCATGTGCGAGAATTTTTTACGCGTGGCCGAACTTGTTCTGTCCTGGAATTTTGAAGAACATCGTTTTCCGATACGTATCTCATACGCCGATGAATCGTCACCAGCAGCTACACTGCGACCGCCATATTCTTGGAAAGAGATCTTTCGCTCCGACAATTTTCTGTGTATTTTCTTCGAGGTTTTCCTTAATTTTCTTGTTTTTGATTTTTACGAGCCGATTTGCCAACTTTTTTTGGGGGAATGGAATGCAGGTGCGCGAATGAGGGGACTAATTTCTCTAGTTTTTGCCGTTAGTTTAGTGGAATTTCCTTTTCCCTACATTTTTTGAGGATTTCGATTCCTTGGCAGTGGTGGCTTCGCTAAGTAGTAGATGGAAATGGTGGGAATCTGGTACTCGTATAACTTTAGCTTCTTTAAGCAGCTGTCAAAACAGCTTTACGGGTGATCGCTTTTGGCAGCTGGGCCATTTCCAGGGTTTAACGAGTAACGGTAACAGGGGTAGTTTGACAATTAGGCCATTTTTAGGTGCTAAAAAAAGTAGGTATTTCTCTGGTCTCATTGTTCTTGGTATTAAAAACAAAATTTCTATGTTTCTCAGATGTATCTTTCCTCATTAGGGGGTTTTTTACCG